AGATCAATCGCCTTCAAGTTTTGAGTAATTGCAACAAACGCCATCAAATGGTCGTATCATATACCTATAGTTATATCGCCGATCTTATCTTGATTGAGTGGCGAATGTTTCAGCATCAAATCTGATAACGCAGATCTGTTCACAGAGCTTCGTAAAAATTAGCAATAATGCAACTGAATGGTATCAACGAAGTAGAAATTGTCATTTACTGGCGCGTTAGGTCCTTGAATAGGGAACATGTATATGTGATTGTATTGAGTGACTGAATCAGGTCGACTGTGTGTGAACGCGACATCCGGATAATAACATAAAATAGTTTGAAGCCGCTTCATCACTTTTCAAACGGAATTAATCGTTTGACCGATTTTTATTCATAATGTCGACGAATAATCTGTGTTTCAATCCAAAGTTGAGACAATAGCATAACAACTTCAAATTGAAGATCGGTTTAACCAGAAATGAATCTTCGCCTTGTAATAGCATTTGAGTATTACTTGAGTTGTTGAAAAAGTAGGCTTTTATGAATATCTCTAAACAACCAACAATCATATGATTGCTTTTTGTCTTTCACTCTTGTGCAAGCAAATGCGAATAAAGACACATCGATGGAGAATAGACATTTATTAATTCCATCAATAAAATTGCATAATATGAACGAGAACTCACTGATTTTTTGCGTTGAACCACAAAATAGGCGAAATTAAGTACATTGAAATATATTCGAAAACGATTACATAGAGCATTATTGACATTTTGATAAAGTATTTGATGACAGAGCATATTTCCAGTTGTTGTAATCGTTGCTGCTGACAAGTTAATTACACTTCTGCATAGCTCCCTCTGGAGGGAATGGTTGAAAATCCACAGATGTATGACATTTGCACGACATTTATTACTTGCAGTGAAGCATCAAAAATCGGCATTAAATTTGAAAACGATAGATTTACATGCACTGAACACTTTATTGTTGCTTTATTACTATCACTATTACCACTTTTTATTACAGTCATCTTCATCCAAAATTACACTTTCATCAGCGAGTTGACCCCTTCCACAAAGTAATGAAAACAGGAATCGACAATGAAAATGTGAAAAAGTTTAGTAAACAAGGAAACAGAAAACGGTAGCGCTGCTTAGTGTACATATTTCTGTTTTTTAGTTGCTGAAACCTTTTCAGAACGAATTTCTCTCAGAATATATTTTAATGAAAACACACAAGTATTTTTCAAATAGTGGACACTGAATATAAGGTAATAATAGTAATAACTATTTATGATTACTCAAATAATTCGGAATAATTTGAACTATGGAGAAGGAAGATGGGAACTGATAAGGAGAAAAGAACACTTAAGAACCGATATCAAATATCACATTATCATAATTAAAATGATTCATCAATTTCCCTGAACAATGGCAACGAGGCCGTCTCTGTAAGCACCAGAAGTATCGCCACGAATGGCATCAACCAACGACTCGCCGTACTGCTGTGGATATTCGTCGCGGATCAAGGCTAAATCGCATTCCGATCTCGTAACGATCACTCGAATCAATTCACTGTCATTTGTACCTAATCCCTGAAAGCCAATAAATAACAGATTCAATTTTGCTCCAAATCTCTCACATTCAGTTGTTATCAAATATTAATCAAATCATTGCTTGGCTCAGGCTCAACAACTTCATCGATTTCAACATACCATTTACTCGCATGCGAAACATTCCTTCACAAGCGAAAATCCTTCAGTTCGATTCATCAAGAAGTGAATCGGAATTAGCGCATCAGATCAACTTAAGAAACGACAAATCCACAAGATTTTTTGGATCTCGACAACAGGTCCACCTATTTCTTGAAATCAGTCACGTTTTGTGGAAAAAGCCACAGGTGGAATGGATGCATATAGAATATTCATTCAGAAGATAGTAGAGTAAAGTTTTATGACAGTTTGATAAACTGACTACATAATTATATGTTATGAAAAGCTGTCAGAATGGTGGTATGATCATATCGAATTAATTTGAGACTACTACCTTCATTGATTCATAGAGACATCTGGCGAAGAATTTAGGCGGACTTCGAATGCACTCAATCATTGTTAGGAATCCATTCTTTGCATCACCGCCAAATTCACCCTGAAATTTTTGTTGACTATTATACGGTTATACTTTTGACACTACCGCACTGATTCTTCAATGATCGATCGAGACGGGATGGACGGTTCCATGAGCTGCCCCTTAATTATCGACTATGTGCAGAAGAGCGATATGGCCGTTAAAGACGAAACAGATGACATTCAGTGATTATTCTCATGACGAGTTATTATTGTTATCCCCGTATGTATTCGCATTACTAAAACAAAAACGACTCACTTTAATCGCCTCCTCAATTTCATGACCATACAGTGCATTATATTCCTCGAAAACAAGCCTCAATTGCGCATAACTTTCATTTACAAGTATTGATGTGAACACATCTTCATCCGTACCCCATCGCTTCTCTCCGGCTGCATACAACTTCTCTGCTAACTAAAATAAGCATAAAAAGTATTTCCAATAAATATCAATCATCAACTCTTCTAGAGATATAAATATCAACTCCTAATACATGTCTGAAAATTAGCCGGTTTCATAACTCGAACGAAACGTTCAAGAACAGTTAAAAGCAAGCGACTCTACTCTGCTGATGTTGCAAAAATCATTTGATAACAGAGAAATCTCGCATAGTTTATAACGTGATATTCATGATGAATGCAAAAGCATGGAAATCAAGTCGTATGTATACCTACCTCTCTAGCCGTTCCTCGATTCGCAGAATTACTCTCATCTCGTTTCGCTTGCAATAACGCAACGAGTAACTGCTCAAAATCGCCAGAAGTATCCCATTTCACAGCACTTTCTAACGAACCACCGAACTGGCCTCGATAAGCCGTTTTGATAGCATTCAATTGTCGATTGGAACGCGTACAAATCACATCAATTAAAACCTTTTCGTCTGTTCCCATACCCTGAAAGCGGAGTATTTCACGATTAAATCAATGTGGTGATTCGATTGCTCTAACTTCAGTACGAGTGATCGAGGGTGGTTCAGTAACGTATAATCATTAATCACATCAACAGGCATATTCAAGGGGGATGCAAGGGGTACGTATTCATCCCTCGAGAACGGAAGGAAAGGAGGGAAAGAAGAGGAAAAGAGAAGGGAGTAGAAACTGGGAAAAAGGAGGAAAAGAAAGGAGGGCAAGGAGAAGGATGAAAAAATAAACGTTGAAAAGCACACCTCAAAATTCAGTTATTTCTTGAAACAGACCATCCTGCACCCCCTCCCCCCTTTGGAAAAAATCCTAGCCACTGATCACATCTATCACCTATTATGCTTGCCATATTCTTTTCATTTTATTCAGCAATCACAACCTTTATTGCAAGATTACACTGACAAACCTATTATTCGTGAAGCATATCGCTCATCTTTTGTTGGAATGAGCGTTAACATTTCATAGAATATCAAACTTTCGGTGGATTACTTAAGTGATAATGAGTAAAATGAACTCACACTGATTGCGTGATGTAAACGTCTCGAATCGTACACCCCCGGTGATAACATCAACGCCAATACCAACTCCTCCAAATCACCACTTAACTCACTCTTCAAATCCTTCATCAGCTCACGTCCATACAATGCTGTATATTCTGCTGATACCTCAAAATGCCACGTTTTGTTCATCTTTCAAAATCACTTCACGATTTATGTATGAATGGACATGTTGGGTGTTGAAATGGATAGTGTTTCATAATACTTCAATTTGTGTTATGATACAAAAACGAACATAACATGAAGAATAGAGAGTAAAATATTTCAGATATCTGATGGAACTGATTCGGAGAAGGATGTTGATTATTATTTAGAGAACAGATTATCTGCATTACTTTTTCTGTGACTTGTAGTATTACTCATTCATCATTTCAATAAACAGATTTCGGTGCGGCTTTTTCAAACATTCAGTGTAAGCAGATCAGCAGAAAATTTTCAGTTTAAGAAAACTTAGAGAGACGAGATTCTAACTAATTGTCCAAACGAATGCATTCCTCAGTTCTTTTATTCTTTATTTCTCTCACGACCAATCCNCGAACGTTTCTACATTTTCATTCGCTTTTTCTCACTGCATCGCACCACGAAACAAACCAAACCTAACTATCGACCGAACAACTTTTATCGACATGAACAATATTATCGTGAAAAAGCAAATACCTTACGTACGGAATGAGAATAAAGCTATCAGCTGCAATCAACTGACCATTTGTCGTTGGGCATTGTTGATGCGAGTTAACAGATGCACCACCTTCGCCTTGTCACATCCGAATCCTTTCATCGCATTCCTCAACTCTTCAGCTGTTTGTGCAGCATTAAAGTCGGGCTGTTGCCGAATCGTCCCAAAAAACCCACTTCGGAACATATCTGATCTGAGCTACACCTATAAAACAATATTATTTCACAGCAACCAATATTTAGTCATCATCAATTGGTATGGGCGCGTAAAACTGGTTGTTTGGAGATGAGAAGTCAACGGAATTTTGAAATGAGAATGGAAAAATGAAAGCGGCATGAGAACGTTTGCAGAGCAAGAGATCGATATTCGACTACATTTAGCTGATGTTCAGCTTGCATTGAATCATTTGCATTACAAAGCGAACAACAATCTATTTCGATAGGACATCATCAAATTCAATGTGACGCAGTGTGCAGCTAATAATATGTTGGTTGGTTGGATACGACAACAACTGAGCAGAAATACTGCAAAAACTGGTTATTTCAATTATTTCAGTGGTGAGTCAACCTTCTCTCACTTTAAACATTCAAGTAATTCGCACTGGCAACTTAATATCATTAGTATTTTCTAGCTGCATACCTCAAAGTATGTATGATGAGCATGTCAGCCGGACAGACATAAATTCAGGAACAGTCAAGCATTTGACAGCTCATGACTCATCGATGATTGAAATTACACTAGGGCTATTTGTCAATCTAATGGAATTATAGACACAACTAGAACAGGAAACATACACGTTCGTCGCCAATATTAACGCATCTTCTTTTATAATCTACTGCATTCTCCTAACCTCAATTTTGTTATTGAAGTTTCGAAAAGACGGATTATGATGATTTGCAACAGATTTAGCATGGTTTCCTGAATTGAGTTGCTTTATTTAGGCACTATTGTGCCTAAGAAAAGCAACTCAATTTTACGATGCACTGTAGTCGCTCTTATCCCAATAATCACTATGAAGGTTCTCTTTATCAAATCATTTTTAACAGCTGCAGTTAACTTCTCATCCTATGATGCACCTCTCCAACAAACTGCTCAACTGTTGATGGTAAACAACAAAATAAGACGCTTAAATTGATAGGAGTTGAACAAAATTTGGTGTAAAAATGGCTTAGGATCAGATTGAATTCGAAGAGGAATGCTCAGAGGGAATAAAATCGAACGAATAAATTCAACCAATGCAGTTTCCCACGGTGAGTTGTTGAACAGTTATGAATAGATAAAAAAATAACGGGAAAGTACAGGTTGATAACATTCCTATTATTAGTGATTTCGCTTATCACGTCGATTCACTTGAAACATTCGTAAATAACATCATAAAATAAAAAGTAACAGACACCCAAATGCCAACCTCGTCTTAATTTACATTCAGTCATTCAATACAACAACCGTACAACTCAATTCATACAAAATTAATGTTCTCAAAACGTCCAAGTATAATATAAAATATGCTCAGAAATAATCTCTCGGTTATGTCAATATCGCTAATCTTATTATCACCACAAAAAATTGCTACTTGTTTTCGAACCAGTTCCTTGCAACTAATTGCAAACCGAATCCAATAATCATATCACATGACATAATTGTGATCAAAACATAAATACGTCTGATTAACTAAGGCGTTGAAGTGCTGTTTGGTTG